AACTATACCCTTAAGTTCTAAACTGTATAAAAAAGTTTAAACCATTCAAAACTATGCATATCTAACTTTCTAAACATATCGACAACTATTAAGAGATTATCTAAAACTACCGACAATACTTCCTATAGAAGTTGCAACTGCAGCTGTAACTGCAGCTGTAGCAAATCCACTTGCTCCTATCACGGGGACAAGGGTGGCCAATGTATGTGTTAAGGCACCTACATCCGTAGCAATAGCTAGAGCAACTAACCTTTTTGCATTTCTTGTCTGCATGACAAAGGAAGCTTCACATAAATACAAAAGCCAACAATTCAGTGACAAAAATATTTCTTGAGGTATTAAGAAATGATCAAGAAATTTTAAAATATCAACAAAACATTTTCAAAATTAATAAGATAATTTAATGGCCCCATAAAAAAAAATGTCATAATGAAAAATTGGCGAAAATTCAATATCTTAATAGTCTCAACGTATATGCAAATAAAATCCACAAAAGAGAAAAACCTTTTTTTTCATACCTCGAATGAAGTTACCTCTTTTGTTGCAATGTTTCTAAAGGGAAATGAGTACGAATCTTCAAATAAACTATTAAGTTTGTACAGGAAAATATAGTCTGCTACTAAATCCAGGCCATAAGAAGCTTAAGAGAAATTAAATTTAAAAAGAGGAAGAGGTGGAATTAATCTTCTTCAATGCATCACCTACTTGGGACTTGCATAATTATGTTAAAGGATCTCTATGTATGAGATTTAGGTTTGTATAAGTTTTATCCATTACCATTGTAAGTTCCAAAATAAAGAGTCCAAGTCAAATGATTTATAGGAAGCTTTCATTTTATCCATTACTTGGGACTTTCATTTTATAGGAAGCTTGAATATTACAAAAATGATTTCTCATCTAATCACCATAATTACTAAGGTAAGATAAGAATGCAAAATAAATCAAAAATTAAATGTGTCAAAATTATCAAAAAACAATAGTCATGTAGAAAGAGGAGTGGAAAAAGCAAACCTGTATGCCCAACAAAAGTATGCACACATGTCCTTCCTTTCCAAAGCTTTAGAGTTGTGTCACTTGAACATCAATTACCATAAAACATAGTCAATAAAATGGAATTATACCTAAAGCAATTTGATGGTTGAGATAATGATTAAGAAAGAAAATTAGGAACTTGAAGGCTGGATAAGAAGGAGTATATGAGAAGAAGAGGAATATGCCTTCACAGTCACACCACCAAATTGCCATGCCTCATAGTATTTGAATTAACTACACCTGTAACAAGCTCGCCTGAAAATAACTTTATAACAGCTTGAATGGCTGCCTTATGAGCCTCCCAAGACTCAATGGGTTGACCTTTTCTCCACCGTCTTAATGTACTACAATGATAAAGCCACCAATGATTAAAAAAAAATGTCATTCATTTTCTCAAAGTGGCAAATTGGCTAACAAGATTAAGAATTAAACAAATAAATGCAAAATAGTAATAAGAAGCATGGAAGTTTGCACATGCAATAGTCAACAATGAGCAACCTATTGTCAATCCACTATTAATTCATAATTTTAGGAGACCAAGAAATTTTGTTACGTTCCAAAAATTTTATGAAGTTTCTCTACAAATTCAATAGCAATCCACACAAATTGCATTGATCAATGCACCATCAAAACAGATTGATATCTGATCCCCAAATGTTATCATTCACACCTCTTCCAATCCATCTGCAATCACCTCACAAATATTTGAGACTCCATGCATTTGTCATGTTTTTTCTATTCTACTTTCACACTATTGAGTTGTTTCCAGCTAATTGCTTTCAGATTTGCTAGGTCTAGTACTCAATAACACTTCCCATTGATTTCTCAAAGACATCTCAAATGCCACCATTTCTTGCTATTTCACCGCCACCATCAAGTTTTTCACATAATCCATCTCTGGAAAAGACTTCCTAACAAAATTTGGAGTTGCAACATAAGAGAAATCACTTGGCTATTATTAGTAGACACCATATATGGTCTAATTAGAAGCATGTCAACTCCTGACTCTGAGTCCTAGTAAAATTGACACTAGACAAATCCAAGTCTCCTTGAGAAGTTTACTTCATCAATTTTGAAGAGAAACCCATGGTTGATAGGCATTATGACTAATATAAACATTGCACGGGCCAAGAAACTACATTAAAATAGCATGGATCATGCTACACCTAAAGCATAATTAGACAAGTTAAACACCTCTGTCACCCCTAGCCCAACCTTCCAAATTTTAATCTACATCCTATACAACATTTTTGGAGTAAAATTCTGACTAATCTTTTGTCGTAAATAGAATTATTGGAAAGATATCGTAACTAACCATTACAGTACTCCCATCAATAAAAAAAAAAAAAAAAAATCACAGTACAGCATGTCTTACCCACCAAGAGAATATTCTTTGATGTGAGATGCCCAACTAACATAAATAAATAATGTTATGTATGTTCAAAAATAATATTTATACTATTAAAGCAATATCATTAAATAAGCAGATTCATTATTTATTTATTTTCATTTTTTTTATATTCAGAGATGGTGGAGTAGCCCCTTTAACAACAACCAACCCTGTCTAGATTTAAATTTTTGAATAATACTATAATAATAATCTTTATCATCTAATGAGGCATACATATTAGTTAAATAAAAATTATAACAATAATAGACTATACATGAAAGTTTTTCATATTTACTAAATGTGTGTATCACGTCAATTAATGAACAAAATATGGTCATCATCATACCATTCTAGAATTTTCACCCCACTCTATAAGGTTAGTCATCAACTTCTTTGAAAGGCAAATGGCCTTAATTACTTGCCCAATTCATCATACCATTCTAGAATTTTCACCCCACTCTATAAGGTTAGTTATCAACTTCTTTGAAAGGCAACTGGCCTTAATTACTTGCCCAATTTTTCAAAAGCTAATAATTATAATAAAAAAAAAAACTAATAAAAATAATATCATGCAGACATGTTTAAAACTAATAAAAAAAAGGGCTGAACATGAAAAATGAAGAACTAAAGAATTTGATCTAGTGGCTACAGTGGCTTGACCAAAACCTAGACCAAGGAAGTTCAGTTCTCTACGTAGCATTTGGGTCTCAAGCTGAGATATCTCCTCAGCAGTTTCATGAAATAGTAGTTGGTTTGGAAGAATCAAAAGTGAACTTCTTATGGGTGGTGAGAAAATGTGAATTGCACTTGCTGATGGGTTTCAAGAGAGAGTGAAGGAGAGAGGCATCATAGTGAGAGAATGGGTTGATCAGAGGGCAATTCTTGGACATTAGAGCGTTCAGGGGTTTATGAGTCTTTGTGGTTGGAACTCGGTGTTGGAGAGCGTGTGCGCTAAAGTTCCAATACTGGCATGGCCCATGGTGGCAGAGAAGCACTTGAATGCAAGGATGTTGGTGGAGGAGATCAAGGTGTGCCTGAGAGTTGAAACCAGCAATGGGTCTGTGAGGGGTTTCATTAAGTGGTAGGCTTTGGAGAAAATGGTGAGAGAGCTCATGGACGGTGAGATGGGTAAGGAGGCAAGGAAGAAAGTGGAGGAGTTTGGTGAGGCTGCGAGGAAGGCTATGGAGGAAGGAGGCTCATCTTGGCACCCAATGAACCAGCTTATTGATGAGTTACAAGCACTAAGAGATGACAGTTCGAAGCTCTGGTCTTGATGCAAAGTTTTTCTTGCACTAATACTGGAACAAAATAGTTTTCCAGTTATAAATAGGGTAATCCTTCAATGAAATTCTATAAAAGGTGATCAGGTTTCTGCAACCTAATTTGATTTGTACGAACTAATAAAGCCACAATCAAAGGTACCTAACCCCTGTACTTAATAACTTTCAGTCTTATGAATCAGAAGGTAAGCCGCATATATTGAATCCAAGGACAGGGATTATTTTAGCTAAACGAAATGTTCATCTTAAAGTTTCTCAATTCAGATTCATGTTTACCACCATGTAATATCATTTAGATTAGATTCATGTTTCTACTTACAGTTCTGTAAAATGATTCTGATCTCCAAAAATTATGTCTTCAACTATTTGCATTTTACAACTCCATTTCAGATTTGACAATGTACAAAGTTTGTGCAGATATGAACAAATGTTGCACTTACCTCTAGACTCCAGTTAACTGTAAATAACCTACCACTGCAGCACACTCTCAAATCTCTAACAAGCATTTTAAGGGTTTCATGGAGTTTCGACACTTCCTCCTGCCTCAAAGCACGTAATTATTCACTTTTGTAAAATTTCAAACCACCGCAACTAATGTCTCAAAAGAAGTGTTCTAAGCAAAATTCTGCATATGCATATGCCAACAATTGAAAACCCATGAAACATTAGGTTACATGCCTATGACCGAAACCATTATATAGAGTTTTTGTCATAGAGTAGAAGGTTCCCCCAACATAAAAGGGACATACTTATAAATTAAGACCCTGTAATCCAGCTATTTTAGATCAATTTCATAGCAAGAGTAACAGAGTACACATAAGGATGATAATGATGATATATTAACTTAGCTCTTCTCAGTGTTGTTCTCCAGATCCCTCCTCAGCTGGAGAGAGAAGTCATCATTGGCATCATCGTCATCCCAATCATCTTCCCATTGCTGTGTTCTTTCTTTCCCTTAATATCATCCCACTCTGTTATATTAATGAAATGTGGAAATCAAGTCGACAAAAACGGTATACATCAAAAACACCATGAGTATGGTGAAAAAACCTATCCTTCTATCATAGCAACAAATAGGAGGAATAAGAAAAGGCTAGACACGAGCATTCACAATGATCAAGAGTAGTGGAAATATATTCCATTCGACAATGAAATTGCATTAATACAAGTGTGCAAGTACGTGTGCATAGGTGGCGTAGGTGGATGTGCCTGGACACAACTTTAAAACACTTGTTTGCTGATCAGACATGTCCTGCACCAATAATGTTGAAATGGATGAAGTTTGGGAAGCAGACGAGTTCAAGAATAGAGTTTCGGTTTCAAACGTCTCAGACATTTTAAATACAAGTGTGTCAATTTCAAGGAATTCGCAAACATTATCCAAATAACTCAACCTGAAAATTTGTTATCCCATATTCAGAATATTTCATAGATGCCTACCCCCCTCCCCCCAACCAAAAAAAAAAAAATCCAAAAAGGTTCATAGAATACCGAGCCCCCAAAAATAATGTTTTGTTTTGTACAGATCCCCAAATAATGAGGTCGTAAGTGACTCAATTGCATGTCAAACTCCTCCATCCATCATCTCCTGAAAAAACACAAACAACCCAGATCAGTGCAGGCTATTTTTCAACTCAACCCACCTACCCCTTCGCCACCCACCACCTCCACAGGCCAAGAAAACAGGTACATTAGCAGCGAAAAAAAAGCCAAGAAACCAAAAGGCACAAGCTGAAACAGATGTGAATCTTTGAAGGTAAAAGGGTTTTGAAAACCCTAGAAAAGTACCGATTCGAGCTTGGAGGAGCTGTGAAGGAACAAGGGTGAAGAAACAGAGAAAGAGTTCGATCTAGGAATTACAAAATGATGAGAGCTCAGTACTTGAAGTACCAGAAATCAAGAACACGAAAGAATAGAGTCCTAATCCTAAGTGGAGTGAATGTGTGTGTGGAAGAGAGAGAGAGGGAGGGAATCTGAACATACCTGAGGTTTTTTCCAGACCGAAGAGAAGAGAAGAAGCAGTCTCGCCACCGAACCGTTGAGCCGTCGAATCAGTCTCAAACCGTCGAGTGTTGCTGTGGCAGAACCGGTCTTGCCGAACCGTCGATCGCTGCCGCCATCGATCGTTCCCTGAACACCGGTCTTCCTTTCGAACCCTCTCTCTTTTCCCTTCTCTTGTAGGTTATCCGATTCGCAACTTTCTATCTTCTTTTTAGAACCCAAATAGAAGCCAAACAGTTTTGTATATATTTTGATTAAAAAAAAATTCTAACATGTTTTTGGTAGGAAAATATTGGCGCCCAAATTTCATTTTGGCCTTCTTTTTTTTTTTTTTTTTTTTTTTATCATACAATTCACGACATACATTGTGCGTCGTAAAAAGGCAATACCTTTAATGGCAGGCAATGTGTGCGTTGTAAAAAGTGCAATACTTTTAACGGCGAGCATTGCGTGTGCCCTGAAAAAACGTATTCACTTTTCATGGCTGGTGTATGTGTGTCGTGTATAATTAATGTATTAACGGCACGCCATATGCACGTCGTAGAAAGTTTTATTATCAACGGCGTGCATTAAAAGCCGTAAAAAAATCATCATTATTACCATTCATGGCCTACACAATAGACATGCCGTGGTTGGAAAAGTATTTACGACGTGCAAAAAAAACAAGTCGTAAAAGTGAAAAACTACGGCGTGCATTTATCGTATGCCATTGATGTGGTGTCGTAAAAAGTCAGTTTTGTTGTAGTGATACTAAGCTAATTAAGTACAAAGCAATTAAACTAATTAATTAGCTACCACTAATTAACTAAATAAAGCGATTAAATGGCCCCGAGAAGTGAGGGATGCATACTCAGTTTGTCTACTTGAAAATCTACCGCCTTGCCACTGACCGCCTCTGTTTGTGCATTTTGAACACCAATAGTGCTGCTACCTCCCAGAATGTCTCTGCTCCAACTTACCAGCACATTGTGCAAAATTTCATTGATGGGCGTCGACTACCATTGGTGGGCGGACAGCTACTGCTAGTGGCCGTCGGGCACTGCTAATGGCCAGTCGGCCAGTGCTGCCCTTACCTTCCTTTTGCTGCAACAAAGAGCAAACAGAGGCAAAGCAGTGTATTCTCTAGGGTTATATGTACTGTTACCCTCCTTATCATCAAACAAGCTCAGAAGAGTGTAAATCTTGGCTCTCAAACCACCAATCAAGCAATTTCCATGCATGATGGGCAAAGAACCAAGTTTGTACAAGTTTAATGAGTGCAAAACATGACTCAAAAGACCAACACCCTATCATGCATGATCAAGGGTGATGGTGACCAAGGAAAGTGGCACATTTCATCACTTTCGACTATGAAATGTTCCATTTTCCTTATGTTCAAATTAACGTCTGATTCGAACACATGCAATGCAACACGAAAGATGCTTATCTTGCCTCTTTTACTTGTCCAATTTTGTTTACTCATTTTACATTACCAATTCATTCTTTAATCAATTAAGTTCATTGGTGAGTGTCTTCTAAAGTGAAAGAAGTGTCAACCAAGGGGTAGTTCAAGGCATGAGGGAAGCTTCATGCCGTTGGTAATGAACCCTCAAAAGAGGATTAAACCATTAAGCATGAGTCTCAACCTCAAGCTTAAACAACCCTAAGGTTGAAACAACCCTCAAAATAAATAAAAAAGTGAAGAAATGAGGGAGGTTGCAGAGATTGCATGTACTGAAATGAAGTGCAAAACAACACTAAAACATGTTATTGACTCAAAACAATAATGATTAAAGCATTAAAACATCAAGCTAGTGAAGGAATTAACACTATAACTATGCAATACAAGCCTCAACTGAACTAACCAGCCCAAAACAGAGCCAAAATAGGTTATTTCAAAGGCCAAAACATGCTGGAATGAAGCTAAGTTAAGCTACAAAAACATGCTAACTCATGAAGCCAACTAGGCATGTAAGCAAGACACAAAGATGGGAGGCCCTCAAATTTTGGACTTGAAAAGTTGATTTTTACCACTGAAAAATCTCTGAGATTCAGTGGTTAAAATGCCTAAAAAAGTTGATTTGAAAGTGATGAATAATAGCACAAAAGCTTAACAAACCAAGAGACAAGAATGGTGGACTACCCCTTAACACAAAATAGCTTCAAACCACCATTTTTAGGTCATAAAAATAGAGATTTTTATAGTTGAAAACTAGACCGAAAATAGTAGAAAAAGATGGCAAAACAAGTATTGAAAACAAGCTTAAATAACAAGTGTTATACCTCTTGAAGTTAAGGCACAAAATAGGCAACAAACCAAGCTCAAACCCCTTTTTAGAGCTCAAATAAGGCTCCAAGTAATCTCAGCCTAAAGGTGAGAGTATTTGGTTAAGGGTTGATGTGCAAAAGCTAAGAGAAACTAGGCAAAAGTGTGCAAAATAACGAGAGAGAGAGAGAGAGAGAGAGAGAGAGATATATATATATATATATATTTTTGGTCTAAATCTTCTAACCCTTCAAAATGGGGGGGAACACCTCCTATATATAGAAAAACAAGTCTTGAGCTTGTGAACATCTCACTATACACGTGTATGACAATGCAGCTCAGTGAGCAACAGCTGGCACAACTGTCAACAAATATCTGGAAAAGGAGACCAAAGGCTGTCAACCACCACTGGTAGCCGACAAGCACAAGACATGGTTGACAGGCCAGGGGGCTGGTCAATAGGTCATGCACTCCTCCAGACTAGAGGCAACAAGCTCTTAGTGCAAAACCAAGCACAAAACAGATAAGGTTTAGAGGCTCAAAGACAAGGCGTTCCGCCGAGGACTTCGGGCACTCAAAACGAACACAAACAAGCACAATCATTAAGTGAACAAACGATGACGTCTAAGTCATGAGGACGGTTAAAAATGGGGTGTCTACACATATTTACAAACTCTTTTCAAAACAAACATGAAATCAAGCATTCCAATTTTTGCAAACTTAGTCTATACTTGTGTGTGTGCGCGTCATAATAGTAATATAGCTAATAATCGAAACAAGAGCATAAATGTAGCTCGACTTTTTGTGCCTCCATTCCGAAGACGAACAAGCCCTATAGTTCGGACTCTACCTGTGGTTTTGAATCTAATCTCACAACTGCAATGTGAAATAGGCGGTGTTTGGGAACTTGGGTTTTAGTTTTTTTTTTTTTTTGTTTTTTTTCACTACAAGACAAATGTTTTACAAAACCAAAAAAAAAAACAAATCCAAACAAAATGTCACGTCAAACCCCATAATCATTTCACTTTTTCTCTCACAAATATCACATCCAATCACAAAAAAACCAAACTATCTTCCCAAACACAAAAAAAAATTTCTCGACTAATATCCTACAACTAAAAAAACCTACAAAAAAAACTCATCCCCAAACACCCACATAGATAAACACCAAAGAGTCCAAATCCATCAAATCTTTTGAAAAATCGATTTTAAATCAAATTGCCAAAAATGGACTTCTTTTCCAGATACAAAATCGCCACCTAAATATTTTTGAAAAATTTAGGAAACCCATGACTCGTGCCAAAGGCCATGTGTCCGTCATCACCAAGATTGTCTCGGCTCGGGAACTTAGGTATGAGAGAGGAAGGTCATAAGTTGAGCACCCCTGCTCGCCCGATTAAAGATCGGTCTCTACTAATCATGATGTGATTTTTATCTACATTATATGCTCTTGTTCTGATTTATTTAGGCTGGCATTACTATGTAATGTGCACACACACAAGTATAGACTAAATTGCAAGAATTGGAACATTTGATTTCATGTTTGTTTTTGAAATTTGTTTCAAATATGTACCACTTGAAAAAGTTATAGCATATAAACATTACTCAAATTATTCCAATTCAAGCAATTAGCCTTCATCCACAGGCATTCAAGCAGTTATAGCATTTAAGCAATCAGCCTTACGGCAAGCATGCATACTAGACATGGCAACATCAACATACAATGCAATATGCTAAAACACCGAAATGCTCACCTAGTACTCCAAGCCAAAAAAGAAAATAGTTAGAAAAATGCACAATTCTTAGCTATGCAATATGACTAATGCAACACACGCGATATGCAATTTACTAGGCTAATTAACTATTACAAACCTAAATGAATAATTTAGCTAAACTACTTAACTAATTATTACAAGAAAAAATTAAATAATTAACTTCAACTAATTAATTAATTACAAAATTCTAAGTGGCTAACTAATTAATTACAACATGTAGTAATTAAATTAAATAGTCTAACTACTCCCATTTCGGAGAGGCGCGAATTGGTCTCCTACAGTTCGGTCTCCTGTCACGGTTCTGAATCTAATCTCACAAAGTGTAATGTGAGACTGATAAACACCAAAGAGTCCAATCCGTCAAATCATTTTGGAAAATCAGATTTTGAATTAAATAATGCCAAAACTGGACTACTTTGCCAGATTACAGAGTCGCCACCTAAATATTTTTTTTTTGGGAAATTTAGGAAACCCTAACTCGTGTCAAAGGCCACATGTCCGTCATCACCAAAGTTACCTTGGCTCGAGAACTTGGGTACGAGAGGGGAAGGTCCTAAAATGAGCACCCCCGCTCGCCCGATCAAGGATCGGCCTCTACTGAGCATGATATGCTGTTTTATAAACACATGTGTTCTTATTCCGATTATTTAGCTAACTTTACTATGTGATGCGCATAGCATACAAGTATAGACTAAATCGCAAGAATTGGAACAACTCAATTTATGTTTGTTTGCGAAGAAAGTCGAGTCTATAGCACTTGAGCGGCCTTTCTTGCGCTCGAGCATTGGCCTGTTATTTGCAAAGCTACTAGATGTGTGTTTTCCATGCTCGAGGGTCACTTCTTGCGCTCAAGCAGTGAGCGTCTTGTCGATTGTGTCTTGGTGCTCGAGCAGCCTTTCTTGCGCTCAAGCGGCCTTTCTTGCCTTCGAGCGGAACAATTTATTGTGTCTGATACTCGAGCATTAACTCTTCTGCTCAAGCGGACTACGAGTATATCAGATCACGAAAATAACTTTTTATATCAAATTTTTAGATCTTTTTTTCCTAAAACCTGAAGTTGGGACTCTCTCTCTCTCTCTACGTTTTCACCTAGTTTTAGTGATTTCTTCACTCTAATCCCTTTGATAAAAAGGTAGACCATCACAAGATCTCCATTTTGATCTGAATAGAGTTGGATTTGGACATCTTTGAGATTTCACT